GGATGCAGGTGGCTCAGGACCGTGCTTTGTGGCATTACTTGTGGGAGACCTATGACCCTGTAATGATGATGATGATGATTTTATCTGCTATTCCTTATTTGGGAACAATATTAGTAAATTGAGTTTGAGGGAGATTTACTGTTTGTAATGCTATATTTATTATTTTAATATTTACCTACTGCGTAGGTATTAGTAACTAAATAGATATTTTTTACTCAATTACATTAACTAATGAGGTATGTATTGTGATTAGTAATACTGGGTGGGTATTAATAAATAGAACAAAATAAAATATAAAGTCAATTTTATTATCTTGAATGTAAGAAATTGATTACAATTTTTTTCAGCTATTAAATGAACATACGCCCATATCCATAAGTGGTTATAAATATATATATATATATTCGGATAAAGAAGCAAAGAAGCAAGATTCATTGATGACAATAGCTCGTTTAGTTGCGAATTTCCCGCGCCTATTTCAATCATACCTGCGACTGCACATTCATTTAATGTTAAATAATTTTCACTACAATCAACGTTTACTATTACAAATTTTTGGTTACATAATTGGCATTTAAACGTAAATTTTGACTCTAACCCTTTTGTTTCTCCGATAAGTTGTAGTTGGACCATGATTTGAAATTTTTATTAATTCCAAAAAGAAGTGGCTGACGTCAATTATTATTCTTCTTATTATTTTTTCATTACTGCCTTTTACTGCCTCACAAGATATTTGCAACTGCAAAAAAGAAAACTACGTATAAGTAAGTAAATCAGTAATATAGTGTTATGCATGATTCAGACTAAATAAAGGTTCCTAAAAATAGACGTAGATAAAGAAATTACATTAAAAAATTACTCAAATAAAAATGCAATAAACTTGTTAATTTTATAGGTAGTAACATATTAAAATAATAAGTTTTTTTAGGATATTTATGTAAAACGTAAAGGTTATATTGTGTTCTTACTACGTTCACGCTTGCGCATATAAAACCGCGAAATTTCACTAGTTTTATTATCAAAATAATAATTGATAACCCTACCCTAAGTTTGCCTTGAGTTTACCAACTCAAACTCGTTTTAGAAGATCAAAACATAAAGAGAAAGATAGGAGACTATTTTTTATTTAATAAACATACATAAAAAAACATAAACACTCACGCCTGTCACCCAGAGGGGTAGGCAGAGACTACAGACTTCCATTTAGCACGATCCTGACATACCTTTCTCACCTCTTCCACATCCATATACCTACGCATACATGCTCGTCGGTTAAGGGTACTCTTAATTTGGCCCATTTTTAGTATATCGCCAATTCGGTCGACAAACTTCCGCCTAGGACGTCCCTTTCCGACTCTTCCATTCACTTCTGCAACATATATTTTCTTTGTCAGTTTCGCCCACAAAAATAAATCGAACTCATCCACTTGCTCAATTAACTCTCCTTCTATTCTTATTTCACATACCGTTTTGCTTTCATCACTTTCAAAAACTTTTATTTAATATGGTTCATCAAAAAAAAAACAAAATACAGTTTAAAATACTCACACAATAAAATTTTGAAGTGCAGGTAAAATATCTGCGACCAACATTTTCAAAATTTTGACGTTCACAGACGTTTCACAACTTTTTGCCAGAACCAAAAGTAAGCTGCATGTCGCTGGCATGCGACAAAAATCGTAGCATAAATAAAATAAAGTCTCTAGCTCGAGAGAAGAGGAGCCGTGGTAGCTCAGATGGTTAGCGCTCGCTGTAATTTTCACAGTGCGCGAGCAAACCGGGTTCGATCCCCGCCGGCACCGATGAAATTCTAATTGCAATATTAAGTGTTGATTTACCACATGCTTAGTGGTGAAGGAAAGCATTGTGACAAAACCTGCATGTCTGAGAAATAAGAAAAAAATATTTCGAAGACATGCGAAGTTCGCCAACACGCATTGGGGCAGCGCGGTGGACAATTCCTTGCCCTAGAACCCTCTCAGAAATGAGCGGAGGCCTGTGCCCAGGAGTGGGACGTATATAGGCTATAACTTTAACTTCAACTCTAGCTCGAATAGCCTACTAATGAAATTCAAATGATCGGTTTAGGCAAATTAAGGCTAGGTAAGTCAAATTAGGGCATTTTACAGTACTTACTTAAATATCTTTTACCTAATCACAAGCACAAGTGTGTACCTAATCAGAATACCTACTAAAGTATTTTGATTAGGTAAGTACACATTTGTGCACCATAATATATACAAACCAAAAAACTTAATAAACAAACCTTTACATCTTCAACCATTTCAGTTGAACCAAGACAGGTATACTGTAATTCTAGGTTTCTTGACTCAAGTCGTTTACTGCCGTATCGTCATTGTTCGTATTTAGCCTGCAATAAAGAATAAATTATATTAGATCTTGCATTACAACAAAAAGGAATTACTTGTAATAAATCATTTAGATACATATTTTAGCTTTATATTTGAAAAGGTTCATATTTTTTATAATATGGTAACCACAAAAAATATCACATCAAATTTCATGAATTCTGGTTATAATTTATAACTCTATGAACTCAAAAGTGCGCCCGACTTACCCATTATCATTTTCAATTATTGGTAAACTTGAATAATTATTTTTGTCGTCAAATTCGCATTCAGGTATTTTTCTTCTCCACCTAAAATAAAAATATACTATGTAATAATACGTAGGAATTTAACGGAATAAAAGTAAGTGAACTTTGCATAATACATCAAATTACTTACAGAATTTCATTCATCTTTAGAGCATTTTGACATCGTTGACGTTTATTCTTCTTGAATTTAGACATTTGCACTAATCAATCCACAAAATTATATTTTTACAATAACACAATCGTAGCGTCTTTTTGTAGTAAAAAACACGTAATGGCCCGGCCACACTAAGGAGAAATGCCGTTAATTATCGCGTTGATGGACGTTGAATCTAGGTGTAGCCACGAATTATCGCGATAATTTGACAACGGCATTAACAATGCCGTTTCCCGTTTGCCGATAACTCGAGTGGCGGTACATCAAAGGATTAACGCGCGAATTATCGCGTTGAAGCGGCCACACTACGTTTGTCTCATTGTGCACGGTGAGTGCCACGGGTTTGCACGTATGGCTGCGATGGAGTCGAGTAATGAAAAAGCTTTTCGAGATTGAATTAAAAAAAATACTTCAAAAGTACTTTAATTTACGGTATGAAACCAAGAAAAATAAGCAGGAGAAAAAAAAAAACAATTTTTGCAAGGCAAAATTCATAGTGTACAGTGGTACGAAGCCCTGGGTACGTGTATCTAATTCGCACTTGACCAGTATTTATGATTGGCTTATTAGTTATTATTTCATTCAAATATATTTTCGTTTGTCTTATTATATAGCTTAAACTATTGGACGTCTTTCTAGTGCAATTTGGGTGCGGGAAAAAAATAAAACATTAATAGATTTACAGTGTACGTTTCATGTGCATTTGTAGCATCCACCATCTTCTTTTTCTTTGTATTCTTTTTTTCTTTGTTTATTTTTTATTTTATAGGATAGGGTGATAAACAAGCACACAGTCCACCTGATGGTATGTGGATGCTGTAGCCCATAGACATCTACATCTATCCTCGATTACGAATCAAAATGCAGATGCGTTATCACCCGTGAGGACTAGGATGGAATGCCTCGTTTCCAGTAAAAAGAGTCTCCGGTTCTTTACACTCACCATACGAAACACAGCAGCATTAAGCTACTATTTTACGCTGGTATTCTGTGAGAGCGTGGTCCTTCCCCGGTCGAAACTTTTCACGCCGTTCAACGGCAAATTTAACGCCGTTCAACGGCAAATTTAATGCCGTTCAACGGGAAACGACGTTGACCGTTCAAGTGTAGCCACTCATTTTATCGCGTTAAATTTAAGGCAATAATTGTTGCGTTTATGGGCATTGACGTTGCTCGTTAGTGTAGCCGCAGCATTAGCGCATCGGTTGGTAGGTACTCAAATAATATTATGTTTGCGGCGAAACACGGAACGTCGACGATGGCAACGAGCGACACAGCTACCCATAGATAATACCTATATACCAGAGACAGCTACCTCGTACGAACGCATACCGCGTAATGCCGCCCGCACTCTGCGCACGCCCTTTATCATAGAATTCACACAGCTTTTGGAATTATTTCAATTAAAAAAGAAAAACGAACTTAAAAAATTAAATTAAACGTGGAGAATATAGATTTTTAAATTATCTATCCATTAGTGTAATCCTCAAATGATTTGAGCGTTGCTTTTAGCAACAGATGCATGTAATCAAGAATTTTAGTCATTTTTTAAAAGTTGATTATAAATGTATTTATAGCACATAAAACAAATTAGAACGTGGAATATGATGATAAGATATCGAACATTATTAATGTGCTTTTAGAAGTAGTTTATTTTTCATAACTAATGAGATAATAGAGTCTGAAAAACGCACTTTCGCAACATTTTGGTCAGGGATACACTTTTAGGCATGCAAAAATAAATCAAACAAGCAAAAAAAACCATCAACATCAGCATAAAGAAGAAAGTTCATTTTCCAGTTTCTTTTTCAATTAGATAAACCTTATTTTAAATGTTAGTGAAATAAAATAATGCTGTTTGTAATACGTAATTTTCGTCTTTTTTTCGTTAAAAAATAAAACAATTGAAGGTTATTTCAAAGCTATATTGAAATTATATATAAATAATCGTGGTAGGTACGAATTATTGGCATTTGGCTATTACGATGACTAGCAATCGAAACGTAAAGATTTGCTTTATTAGAACTATAAACAACTGTACACATCAAAAATTGTTCCCTAACGTGATTTATTATTCATAATGAAAGTGGCATTATCGGTTCACCTCTCAAGTAAAACCTACATATACATAATATGACCCGCTAACCTTGGTGCTGTCAAAATATATTTACTATAAAAGCTCTCCGACAAGTTCGACCATTATTAGTCGTTTTCTGTTACCAATATAATATGTTCTCGAAAGTAAGTTAAGAATATGTGTGTCCATTTTAAGTTTATAAAGCTTTTGTATATTTATACTATTTATATAATTTATACTATAAATAACTAGAGAAATTCTGTATAAATTCCTCAATCGGAATCCATTATTTTAAACGCTTTAAAAATGAGGTTTTTGAATTTCTATAAACTGATTTTATTGTTTTATCATATCAACTATTGTATTATTTATACAAAGTGATTTTTCGGAAGGGCTGAGTACTTAAACTTTCAATTAAAAAAAATTGGTTTTTATTAAATGTCTTATTATGTTTGACCTTTTTTACTTTTGCAATAAATGTTTAATTGTTAAATAATACGATACTTATAATTTAGTGAATACATGTTTGAGTCGTACAAAAATGAACGCATGATGAGTTTCAAAGCTTTTTGCGATAAGATAGTATAGAATAATTCCATCTTATGTCATTCTTACAGGTTTTAGCTCTGAGCGCCGTACTGGCAGTGTCTGCGGCAGGTCTCTTGCCTCAGCAACACTACTCATCAGCGGCAGCTGTCTCCTCACAGAGCATCGTGCGTCACGACCAACCTCAGGCTATTCACTCTGCACCCGTCGCCATACATGCCGCCCCTCTCGCCTACCACGCTGCTCCAGTTGCCACTTATGCGGCTCCCGCCCGTTATTCCGCCGGCCATGCTGTGTCCTCTCAAACAATCTTGCGTCACGATCAGCCCCATGCCGCAATCGGATTTGCTCCTGTATCCTACGCAGCAGCACCAGCGCACTACGCCGCGCCTATCATCAGCCATGCTGCTCCCGTGACCAAGCTTGTTGCCACCGCACAACACGAGGAATACGTAAGTAAATCAGATAAACATTGCTAGAATATTGAAAATAACCACAAATCTATAATTGTAACGTACGTTTTCAGTCTCATTTAACCACATATTTTTAATTCTAGGCTCATCCTAAATACGACTTCGCATACTCCGTGGCTGATGGACACACTGGCGACAACAAGTCCCAGCACGAGAGCCGCGATGGTGATGCTGTGCACGGCGAGTACTCGCTGCTTGAAGCTGATGGCTCAGTACGCAGCGTGCAGATACACCGCTGACGACCACAACGGCTTCAACGCTGTAGTCAGCCACTCCGCGCCCGCACATCACTCTGCTCCCGCACCCACTCATATTCTCGCTCATCATTAATTTTACTAATTATGCCAGCGTGATAAATGAAGTCTTGAATAAGCTAATTATTTATTTATTATTATTACTAGGAGAAAAATAAATAATTTATTTGATTCGTGATTTTTAATGAGTTCATAATTACCCGTTAAGTATTTCCGAAGTGCTTTTTTTTCAATTTAGTCTAACATGTTACTTATAGTTGTAGTACGAATGGGTGGAAAAAGGATTTTTTACATTATCTGTACAGTGATAGAAATAAGTAAATAATGTTTGTGAGAGGTGACTGCGCTATTCCATATCTACTTTTTTATTGTTGAGTTAATCGAAACAATGGTAACATATAGATCCTTTGAACCATAGACTTAGAACATAATCTTGAATTATATGTTCCAATAACGCCAGTAACTAAACTTTTCATTTATCTAGTAACTAAACAAGATTGATCTGCTTAAGTTTGTCTTTAACGGCATAATTTCTTATGACATTTTAGTGCGAAATTATAATAATATGTATTCAGGTGATTCGCTAAGGTAAATAATAAAATTAATTGTATTTTACACATTATCATTATCACCTAAACATTAACTAATATTTTACTGAGTTACCAAATAACAAACTTGAAAGTCTTAAATACTAATTAAAATGCGAAGTAAAAACTTTACAGCTGAACACAAACCTCTTATACTTTCTGAGAAGGCGTATTATAATAATTGGCCGTGTTTGCGGTCTTTACTTATCCTCGATACATTGTATTGCTCAGTCATGCACACAGTATGGTCATGCATGTGTCGTGTCGTTACGAAGTTTTCGTTTACTACCGAGCACGTGGTAAATTAGGTCTTATCATTATTGCAATTAACAATTTAATAGGTGTGGGCGGAGATTGAAACTGGACTTGCTCGCGTACTGTGAAGGGCGATGGTGAACCTCAGAAACAAATTTTAAAATATAAATTAATAATAAAGAAACGTTTGCGCTCCGAGTACTTAATATAATTGAGACAATTACTTTAACAATAGGAAAGCTTGGAATAGAATCCTTCCAGTTTGATACAAGTTATGTCAACACGAACGTATACGTAAAGCAATTCATTGCCGCCGGCAATGGATTGCAGCCCTGAAAGGCGCAGGTTTGAATCCTATACCAAAGAAGTATTTGTATGGCCCACAAATAATTGTATCAGGTCTGGGTGTTTGCTCTTGTAAAATTATACGTCGCAACATAAAATTATATGTCTCAAATTTAATTTCATCGTACATACTTACGGCATATTCTTACAACTAAAAAAACTATATTGTAAGTTTATAAGATTACACTATATATATATATATATATATAAAGTAGTATGTAATACGAGGCGAACACTATATTGTAAGTTTATAAGATTGTAAAATGCAAAGCGTAAACTTACTACCAAGCTAGGGTTGCCAGTTAGTTAGTATAACACGATAATATACTTTAAAGTAAAACAATAAATTCAATGCTTATATAATTCAAATGATATAAGCATTGAATTTATTGATTAATTGAATGAATCAGTGTTCTTTATTATTAATCATTCAATATTTATTACAATATTAATTTCAATAATTGCAATAGTATGTATTTAAGTACTTGAAAAATGTAAAAAAATGGTCAAATATAAAAAGCCTGACAGGCCGGACACCGTCTAATTTGGCCGGACACGCAATCAAAAAGCCTGACTATGTCCGGCTTTATCCGGACGCCTGGCAACGCTACACCAAGCGAATGCTTACAGAACTTCAGTACAATCACGGTAATTTTATCTATACAGTATTCCAACTTCATACAAACGGACGAAGCGGGAGCTATGCCTACGCGCCTCGATCTCGGCATGCGCTCGGCATGCAGGCAGTCGTGACCGTACCGCAGTGATGATTTTGTGGAATATATAAAAAAATTGAGAAAATATTCTGAACTTCATTTAAAACCAAACATATAAATTGTAAAGTAGCTGCAGGTATCTATAACCAAGTAAAAGATATTCCTTTTCTTCACCTTGTCCATGTTTACCAAAACAATTTTTAATTAAGCTTTATATTAGGATGCGGATTTTTTATACTTAAAAATTTATTATAAAGCATTTCGTACGTCTCAGTCGAGGCGCAAATATTTTTGGTCGCAAATTTACAAGACCGATTTGTTATTCAAACATAAACATAGTTTTTTAATTAAATCTACCAATCAAAAAACGACACGCATTTTTATTGAACACTTCCTATTCAATTCACAAAGTACCTATTTTATTTGTTTATATAAAAAAAGTATATTTGCAATCATAAAACTAAATGGAAACACAAAGTAGGCAAATGTAATTAAAATTCTGGAGGCAGGCAGCCCTATCGCATGTCTATATACCGCGCGGCTGTAGGCATTTTTTTCAAAGATACGGGCGAGACAATACTGTTATAGATAAAATTACCGTGGTACAATGGTGATTCGCGCTTGACTAGTTCTTTGTAGCAGTAGAATTTATGCAGTGGCTTAGAATCGGTTTGCAAAATGTCTTATATAGGTATGTATATGTAGGTACGGCTGTCACATTACATACATACACGGCGAAAACTATAAAACTCAAGCTTAGTACTAAACCAACAATGGGCAGATCCTTTCACTATAAGAGGATTTTTCCAGTAAAAGCTGACCTGTCATTGTACGTAATGCGTTTACAATTTGAGATCAGCTTATAATGGATTTTGTAGTTTGGTAATTATGTTGCTACGTGTACTAGTAACATATCTGTTACATGTTTAGGTAGGTAGAAAATACTCATGTAATCACAATTTAGCTAAAGCTAAACTATCAAGGTACGTTAGTTAGTACTCAATAGGTCCATAAGTTTTATGTACTTATGTAGTAGGTAGCAGATAAGTTATTTTTTTTAAAAACTTTACCCCCCCACTAGGATTTTCTCTTGTATCATGGAGGCAGTTTACAAATATAAATTGCACAAAGACAAACATCCAGACCCAGAACAATTATTTGGGTCATACAAATAATTGTTCCGTGCTGGATTCGAACCCACGGACTCCAGCGCAGCAACTCATTGCTAATGCTAAGCCAGTGCACTACGGAGTACCGATAATGTAAGGACGGATAGATAAGTTAGTTTTATTTCTTTATCATCATCATCATCATCATTACAGCCCTTCACAAGTCCACTGCTGAACATAGGCCTCCCTCAAGTAATGCCACAAAGCACGGTCCTGAGCCACCTGCATCCATCGACTTCCTGCATATCTTACCAGGTCGTCACTCCATCTAGTGGGGGTCGCCCTACACTACGCCTACCGGTACGAGGCTGCCACTCGAGAACCTTTCTTCCCCATCGGTTATCGGTTCTTCGAGCTATATGGCCGGCCCATTGCCACTTCAGCTTACTAATCCGTTGGGCTATGTCAGTCACTCTGGTTTTACTGCGGATATCCTCATTTCTGAGTCTATCACGCAGAGAAACTCCGAGCAAAGCCCATATTTCTTTATAGTTAGATATTATAAGTAGGTACTTACCGAACACATTATATTTTTTTTATTACTAAGACCTTGGCTTCTGCACTACGGGTCGGGGGTTCGATTCCCATACGGAACAAATATATTAATGGCCTACAGAGAGTTGTGAAAATTTGTGTTTGTAATCGCATGGTCTCCGATTCAGGAGAAATCCTGGAGTGGGGCAACGTTATAAAAAACAATTACTACTAATTTTGTTGAATATTGACAAAACAAAAACAAACCTATTTAGGTAACTTTATATTTTTTTTCTAAAGTTACACCACACTCGATTTCTCCTGAATCGTAGACGGTGCGATTACAACCACAAATTTTCACATACAGAAACACCTGTGACTAGTAGCGCAACAACCAGTCGCTTAGCCACGGCACTAAACCTGTCATATGCTAAATTTCTACATAATATTATAGTCACTAATACTATAAGTAGATAGGTCGGTAGATACTTACTTCATTAAGTTTATCATACGCTTCTTATTTTTATTACGCTTATTTCCCATTGCGCCAACACTATAACCCTGACTGTCTATTTTAATATTTTAATTTTACGTCGTTTATTCTGAATGATGAAGTTTTGAGTTTAAAGAGATGGAAGGAATATTTTGAAAGCGTGTTTATGAGTGAGGAGACAACATGTGTACTAAGTGAAGTAGAAACTCCGAAAGAAGAGGAAAGAGGTAGCGAGATAAGTATAGATGAAATAATGAAAGCAATGAAAAGCATGAAAGCGGGTAAGGCGCCCGGATATGATAGAGTTTCACTCGAAATGCTAAGGGCTGGAGAGGAGGTGGTGGCAGGCCTGCTGCACACCTTGTTTAATTTATGCTGGGAACTGAAGCGGGTACCGGTAGACTGGTGCAAAGCCGTGATAGTCCCAGTATATAAAGGAAAAGGGTCGCAGCAGGACTATAAAAACTACCGTGGCATCAGCCTTCTTAGCATTGTGAACTAAGTACGCTAAGGTACTGATTGAAAGGGTCATGAAAGAAACTGATGGAAAAATTTGGGATGTACAAGCGGGATTTAGAAAGGGAATGGGATGTACAGATCAAGTCTTTTCCATGCGCATGATCGCGGAGAAGTTTCTGGCCAAAAACCAAAAGGTTTTTTGTGCGTTCATGGACTTGGAAAAGGCCTATGACAGAGTGGATAGGGATTTGCTATGGCAAACACTGAACTCATTTGGGTTGAGCGCTAGCTTGATACAAGCATTGGAGTCTCTTTATAGGGACTCTAGTGCTTGTGTAAGGATCGGGGTCTACTCGGACTGGTTTGACATCCATAAAGGTGTCAGACAGGGCTGTGTGGCTTCCCTGTGGCTGTTCAACCTATTTATGGACAGTTGTTTGCAAAATTTGAAAGTTGAAGAATGCGGATTAAGAATGGGTGAGTTAACCGTCAAATGCCTTTTGTACGCCGATGATCAAGTCAATCTTGCGTCGTCGGCGGCCGAGTTGCAAATGATGGTTACATTAATGAACGGATCATTAAAAGAAAGGGGTATGAAAGTGAACACAAGTAAGACGAAGGTTATGGTTTTTGAAAGAGAAGAAAGTAAAACGATTTGTGAAATAAGAATAGAAGGGGAGTTGATCGAGCAAGTAGATGAGTTTGTATATTTGGGCTGCGTATTTAGCAGGGATGGGAGATATGATAAGGATATAGAACGACGAGTGAATGCGGGAAATAGAGTAAATGGGGCCTTGCACTCTATTGTGAAGAGTCAAAATGTGTCGAAAAAGGCACGTATGGCAATTCACAATGCTGTGTTGGTCCGTACTTTAACGTATGGTAGTGAAAGTTGGGTGTGGCAGAAGAAGCACGAGAGTAGAATAAACGCAGTAGAAATGCGGTCGTTAAGGAGTATGTTAGGGCTGAATCTGAATGACAGGGTAAGAAATTGTGTAATAAGAGAAGAGTGTGGTTTGCAAGATGGTGTTGTGACCAGGATTAAGAAAGGAATGCTTCGGTGGTTTGGTCATGTGGAAAGAATGAATGCGGAAAGAGTGACAAAGAAAATTTATGTTGCAGAAGTGAATGGCAGAGTCGGAAAGGGACGTCCTAGGCGAAAATTTATCGACCTAATTGGCGATTTATTGGAAACGGGCCAAATTAAGAGTACCCTTAACCGACGAGCATGTATGCGTAGGTGTATGGAATGTGAAGGAGGCGAGAGAGGTGTGTCAGGATCGTGCCAAATGTAAATCTGTAGTCTCTGCCTACCCCTCTAGGTGACATGCGTGAGTGTTTATGGATATGTATAATTTTACGTCGTCCTGTTTCGTAATGTGTGTTCTGAGTACAAGCGACACAACCCTTCCCTTCAAAAGCCGGAGCTAGACTGACATAATACAGTAATCTTAATCTATGAGAGTGACTGAGTGAACGACGGTGTCGGGCGGTTTAAAACTTTTAAACGACGATAGTTTAGGTAATTTCTTTTTACGGTGAAAGTAATGATAAATAAAAAAGTAAATGACATAAGCCCTGTTTTATAGTTAGTTCAGTTAGTATGCAAAGTTTCATGATCTAATTTTAAGTATTTTTTGAATACCAGTGGTTTATAGTTCGGTTTGGAGGCAAATTTGGATTTTTTTTCTATCGAGAAGATTTTATGGAATCGTGTTTTCGTTTAACATAGTACTTAACATTAATCCTCAACTTCACCATATATTTATTTCAAAAACAATGCTGTAGTATTTTCGGCATAACAGAGGATCTTGCTAAGCTTAGGGTGCAAAGTCCGACAAAGCTGTGTCCGGATAATAGCATAGGCCTACTAGAGTCTTACAGGCTGACAGCGAAATTACCTAAAACAATGGCTACAATATGCATCATAATAAGTGAACAGGTGCTAATTGTGGGAGCTGGTGTACTCATAGTATACAATGTACTTACAAGTTTAACTAAGTGAGTAAGTAAGTGTTGTTTTATTTGAAGAACATGATCTGTAGATCATATTCCATTTTATTTTTACTGTTATAAGCTTTCATATAACTTCACGTGTGTGTATTTGAACTACTTGCTCTAAACTAAAATTTTGATAGATGCTAAACATGCTCTTTATTTACGGTTTTTATTTATTAGACTTCATAAAAGTTTTATTTTATTTATTAAAATTCATACCAGTCAAGTTTTGGGTGATGCAGAGATAAAAAGATGAAGTAGTGTGTGAAATGTTAAAAGACAGAAATGTAAAAAATATAAAACACAAAGTTCATTTCAAAGCTATATTAAAATTATATAGCAATAATCGTAGTAGGTACGTTTGAATTATTGGCATTTGGCTATTGTGACGACTATAGCTATCGAAACGCAATGATTTGCTTTATTAAAACTATAAACAACTGTATACATTACAAAACTATTATTTAACGTGATTTATTTAACGTGATTTATTCATGGTGAAAGTGACATTATCGGTTAACCTCTCAAATAAAACCTACATAACCTATACATAATATGACCTGTTAACCTTGTCGCTGTCAAAATATATTTACTATAAAAGCTCTCTAACAAGTTCAACAGTTATTAGTCGTTTTCTGTTACCAATAAAATATGTTCTCGAAAGTAAGTTAAGAATATAGGTGTCCATTTTTAAATTTATAAAGCCTTTATATAATTTTTTACCATAAATGGTTTTCTCAACTTGATGAGCTTCAAAGTTTTTTGCAATAAGATGTAGAATTATTCCATCTTAATTCATTTTTACAGGTTTTAGCTCTGAGCGCCGTACTGGCAGTGTCTGCGGCAGGTCTCTTGCCTCAGCAACACTACTCATCAGCTGCAGCTGTCTCCTCACAGAGCATCGTGCGTCACGACCAACCTCAGGCTATTCACTCTGCACCTGTCGCCATACATGCCGCCCCTCTCGCCTACCACGCTGCTCCAGTCGCCACTTATGCGGCTCCCGCCCGTTATTCCGCCGGCCATGCTGTGTCCTCTCAAACAATCTTGCGTCATGATCAGCCCCATGCTGCAATCGGATTTGCTCCTGTATCCTACGCGGCAGCACCAGCGCACTACGCCGCGCCTATCATCAGCCATGCAGCTCCCGTGACCAAGCTTGTTGCCACCGCACAACACGAGGAATACGTAAGTAAATCAGATAAACATTGCTAGAATATTGAAAATAACCACTAATCTATAATTGTTACGTACGTTTTCAGTCTCATTTAACTGCATATTTTTAATTCTAGGCTCATCCTAAATACGACTTCGCATACTCCGTGGCCGATGGACACACTGGCGACAACAAGTCCCAGCACGAGAGCCGCGATGGTGATGCTGTGCACGGCGAGTACTCGCTGCTTGAAGCTGATGGCTCAGTACGCAGCGTGCAGTACACCGCTGACGACCACAACGGCTTCAACGCTGTAGTCAGCCACACCGCTCCCGCACATCACTCTGCTCCCGCACCCACGCATATTCTCGCTCATCATTAATTGACCAATTATCCCAGCGAGACAAATGAAGTCTTGAATTAAGCTAGATATTTATTTTTATAATTACTAAGAGAAAAATAAATAATTTATTTGATTCGTGATTTATTAATGAGTTCATAATTACCCGTTTGGTATTTCCGAGGGGCTTTTGTGACTAAATTAAATGAGTTTTTATCATTTCATTAATTTATTGCCGCCGGTCAAACTGCCACTGCTGAACATAAGTCTCCCCGATACATTGCCTCATAGGGAGGATTTGCCACGCTTGGCAAGCGGGTTGCCAGCCGCAGTTTTTTATTATTTTGAGCTGTTATCAAGAATATGCTGCTGCCCACCTCACGTTTTACTTTCCTTTGTCATCTCTTACGTCACCTACGGAATGGTATTATATCGATACGATATAATACCGATATATATATACACACGATATGATATCGAATCTCTTGCGACGTCACTGCTCTGCGTACAGTGACCTAGCGCATGCGTATAGCTTATCAATTTATTTTACTAAAAACAAAATGATCCTATTATTTATAATATACTATTTTCATTTTTAATAAATTTATGTGGGGGTATTTCGTTTATCAACAGCAATACAATAATGATATTTTTCTTCATATCGAATAAAACCAATTTAAAATAATTTTTCGCGTTTAATTTAACTTATTCTAACTTGTTACTTTTGTAAATAGTAGACCCAGGATGCAGATACATAGTTATAGTAAGTAAGGATGACAAAAGATTTTTTTAACATTATCTGTACAGTAATTGAAGTTAACAAATAATGCCCGTGACAGGTGACTGCACTATTCCATATCTATTTTTGTTGTTATTGTGTTAATTGAAAAGTTAATTGAAATAAAAAAGTTGGTTATATGGAAATGACCTTGAACTAAAAATTCCATTGGGAACCACATATATAATGCTAGTAACTAAACTTTTCATTTAGCTAGTAACTAAACTAGATTGATCTTCTTAAGTTTTTCTTTCACGGTATAATTTCTTATGATATATTATTGAAAGGACATAAGGCCGGTTGGAGTACTATACCGATGACTCGCTAAAGTAATTAATGAAATGAATTGTATCTTTTCCATAATTTATGAAAAACGATATGTTTGTTGATAATATCGAAATATAGTAACAGATAACATTTTAAATTGAAGAACAATCCCTGCACATTAACTCATATTTTACTGGGTGAATAATAAACAAACTAGAAAATCATAAATATAACTTAAAATAGAAAACTAAAAGCGATACGGTTCTCACACCTGAGCACAAACCTTCTATACCTTCTGAGTAGGTTATAATAATTGGTTGTGTCTTTACTTGTTCTTTACACATTGTATTACTTAGTCATGCACGTTTCCTCAAGAAGGTTTCATTTATCGCCGAGCACGTGGTAAATTAGTTGTAAAAAAGTTTGTATTGCCTAGATTTATTTTGTATTTTCAATATAATATATTCTAGGAAGCGAACTATGAAGTAAGGGATTGCCTACGTCCGCGTAGCAAGGCCGATCTCTATTGAATATATAGTTTACTGGGGTTCTTTATTTATAAAGAACTCAAATATTAATTTGTTCAAGAAGAGGACTGCATTTCATATTATTGTTTAATAATTTGTAAAGGAACATTTGATCGGATATAAGCGGCGATCTCTTAAGCTGATCATTTTATAATATTCGAGTCTCTATAGGTAAGGGCATCTGTGGGAAATACCGGGTGAATATATGAAGCTGAATATATTTAATTCTTTGAAAGAAAGCGCTACAAACTGGGTTCCAAGCGAAACTTGCAAATTCTAGGTTACTTCTGACTAGAATATTGTAAAGAGTAGGTTTCGTTTTAATTAATCCGAATTTTTTAAGCTGTGCTTGAGAAAACCTAGCATTTGTAAGGACTTTTAACGATATTATTGATGTGAGTATTGTACTGTAACCTAATATCGAGTGTCAATACGCAAACCAAAACCGATAATTTATTACATAATTCATATATTTTATATATAATTACTTACACAAATCTAATAATTAACCATCCTAGGATGATACGAATCAGTTGCTGGTTATACTAACAAATAAAAAATAGTTTTCGAATTCTATTTATATTAAACACATATTGTTTATAAATATTCATATAGATTCACTATGACTTCGTTCATATAGTCAAGCCATCAAAACATAACAATGTCATGGTATATAATACACTTAAAAATATAAACCTTTAAGACACAGAAGCTTACTTCTGAGGATATGTCTTTAACTTTCATATCTTATACTATTGTGTAACTTAAAATTAATAAATTTACTGTAAACATTTTTTGTCGTAGACCTTGTCCTGAAAAATAAATTACTATAAAAGCGAATTGTAATAGTACAAGTGTATCAGTCATATAGGATACTTACAAGAAGTAAATATGTTAACGAAAGTGAGTTATTATAAAATTACACGTAGTTAAAAAAAATTAAATATTTCTTTTTATTAATATTGCGCAAATTTGTATTTACTTATTGACACATTTAAATTATTTTCGCACAGGTATTATTTTTAAGCGCCTTGATGGCAATAGCATCTGCTGGGCTCCTGGCTGAACCACACTATTCGTCTGCTGCAGCCGTCTCCTCGCAAAGCATCGTGCGCCATGATCAACATCAAGCGGTGCATACTACACCAGTAGCCATACAAACTTCTCCCATCGCTTATCACTCAACTCCTGTAGCTTATCACGCTCCTACACTTGTTTCTACAGGTCACGCTGTGTCTTCTCAATCTATTATACGTCATGATCAGCCCCATATAACAGTTGCAGCGGCACCTGTTTCCTACTCTTCTGCGCCCGCACACTATGCCGCTTCTCATATTAGCTATACCTCCCCATTTGCATACCAAACTTCTCCGGCTCGCATATCTAGTGGCAACGCCGTGTCCTCTCAAACTTTTCACCGAAATGACCAACCCCACATTACTGTAGCTGCCGCACCTCTTTCTTACGCTACATCACCGACTTACTACGCAAATTCACACAACAATAACGTTGCACCTATTTCTTATAGTGCAACTCCCGCTCGGATTACTGCTGGTCACGCCGCAATATCGTCCCAAACTATTTTGCGCCATGATCAACCTCATGTCACACTAGCAGCTACACCAGTATCTTACATTACACCTACTTACGTCGCTGCACCTACCTACGCCGCCAGTCATATTAATAATGCTGCACCTGTTTACGCATCCGCTGCTCGTTCTTCTTCTGGTCATGCTGTTTCCTCCCAAAGTATTGTCCGTCATAATCAAGGCCACTCCGTTGTTTCTGCTCCATTTACCTATGCTGCTTCTTCTATCCCGTACTCTTCCCCTATAGCATATCAATCTATTTCCGTTCCCAAATCGTCCAAACATGCCGTTTCTTCTCAAACTATTCAACATCATCCTGCCATTGCCGTTGGACCAGTAACTTATGCTGCGACTGCATCATCTCACCATTCCTCTCCTAGCTATGGTTTGATCGCAGCTAATCACCACGTGGAAGAATACGTACGTGCAACAAATTTTTTTAATGAAATATTTTAAAAAATTGTTAACAATAACTCGTAATGATTATGTTTTTCCAAATGAATAGAAATCCGACAATTTTTTTAATGTTGTTTGTTGTTGAGTTTATTACGCGGGACGTAATATAGTGCTTGTATATTAAATATTTACGAGATGGACATCTCACTTATATTTTTTTAAATTTTGCAACCATCTCGAAATAATAAGAAACCCGTTATTAATGACATTTTTGTCTTTAACTTCAGTCTCATCCCAAATATGACTTCGCCTACTCTGTGGCCGATGGACATACAGGCGACAACAAGTCCCAACACGAGAGCCGCGACGGTGATGCTGTCCATGGAGAGTACTCGATTCACGAAGCTGATGGATCCGTGCGTAGAGTGGAATACACCGCCGATGATCACAACGGTTTCAACGCGGTTGTCAGTCACTCAGCCCCTGGACATCACCCAGCTTCGGCACCAGCACATATCATCTCACATTATTAATTATAAAGAACAAATAATCTAGTCATTTTAAAATAATAAAAGCATATTAATGTTACGTTCTGTTTATATTAAAAGTGAATAAAAATGCTTGAAAAATATTGACATGAGTTTTATATGTAACCATTTAAATTGCTAAGTGCTAGATAATTGTGAGCTTTCATAGGTCGTCAACATTGAGGCACTGTCTCTCAGTTCCAGAACAAAGTACGGGTATAACATACAGACAAATCTTGTAAAACAACCATAAATTTAGGCGAAAATTAAAACAAAATAAACCTGGCCGATAAATATTGTCAGCTCAATTATAGTTTTTAATCCGATCTCTTTATCGCTGACGCTATTTAAAATATAATCGATCTTTGCGCATAACCATTACATTTAGGTTGGAAAAGTAAGTGTTTATGTGATTTCGTACACAGTTGTTCGTACACTTTTAATTTTTCATCTCTGTCCGAAGTATAACTTAGTCGCATAATGATCGACGTAGTCCAAGAAGATAGACTAGGAAGAAGAAGAGGGCGTAGGTACATATTGTGAATATTTGTATTATCCTTCCTCTCCCTTGATCCTTTTGGTCTATTTTGATCTTCAAACGAGAACTTATATAATTATTACTATCAAGTTACTATGTAAGTCATACAACGAATTTACTATTTCTTTTTTAACAACGCTTGTTACATCCTAACATAAGACTGTCTCGAGAAATGCTACAAGACACGGTTCTGCACCGGCTTTCTGCATGTTTTACCAAACCGCATCTAGTGAAGGGTAGCACAATACCTCGCTTATCATTCTAGAACTTTTCATCCCCATCTGTTATCGGTTCATCCAGCTAATATGACCCACTATTGTCACTTTACCTTACTGATCCGTTAGGATATTTTAGTTACTCTGTTTCTTCTGCGCATATTCATAAATCGAATCCTATCGCGCATAGAAACTAAGAATACAA